GCGAAACTTGAGGGAGGCCTATGTCAAGCAGTGAACGTTCACTGTCATCCGTGTGGTGACGGATTAAGGATACAGAGTGTTGTAAGAACCGACAAAGGGAGCAAACTACGCAGTACAATAGCACTGCAAAGAGAGGGAAAACTTGATAAAAACCCTATACCAACCCGTCTGGCTAGCGTGGTACTGTACCTATGCCTAGACCTTCTATCTAAGGAGAGACATATGTCCAGCAGTAGAGTATCAAAAGCTGTTGATGTGTGTGATGTAAAATTATTTTCGGCGTTCAACAATGTACATTGTTGAAAGCCAAAAATGATTTTATATCGTCTTAAAAAACATAGATCGTCGTACATAGATCGTCTTAAAAAAATGTATCTATTGCGGTGTCGGTCAGGGTCAGGAATAGTTCTGTATTTTTATAAATACACTAACTATTAAGGACTATTAAGGTCCCTAATAGTTATGTATTTATAAAAATACAGAACTATTAAAGACCCGTTAAGCAATTCTTTCGTTGCCCTTCACTGAGTGAGTGAGGTTACCGGAGCCCAAATCCCTCCTCCCGCTGACTCGAGCGGGAGGGACTCCAACGCACTTGTGACTTTTGAGATGCAGGTGTCCATGGGCGGCGGTAGTTGCTTACCATCAGGTAACACATCTGCTGATTTGCCCCCTTATACCATGAAAAAAAAAGTTTGAAAGAACGCGAGCGAACCGCAAAAACTTTTCATCGTGTAAAAAGCAAACGTCATTTGTTTACGACCTAATCATACAAAGCAATAAACAAGTGACTTTTTTTTTTAAATGGCATAAAAGAAACTTACTTTCTTTCTTGTCTGGGATTCACATGTATTATTGTATTGTTACCAACCCGTCTGGCCAGCGTGGTATAGTAGGCCAAAACCTCCTTTCTAAGGAGAGGCCTATGTCCAGCAATCAATCAATCAATCATTTATTCATTGCTGAACATAATACATAGTCATGTAACATCTAAGGTGTCATTGGATGCAAAGTAAATCATGTTCGGCCGATTAAGGCATGCAAAATTAGTCCCTCAGTAACATTTCAATTGAAAGCATACAATACACATTAATATCATGTCCACAAAATTGACAAAATATGTCAAAAGATACAAATACAAATTAAATAGGGTTTAACAGGCAGAATTACACCAATAACATAAAGAAAAATTATAAAAGTAACATAATTTCATAAATTGTCAACATATTTATACATAATATTTATAAATTAAATACAAAACCATACAATATATTATTATACGTATTTGTCAAGTCTGTCTTTATACAATAATATCCTTTTACATTGCTTTTTTCAAATTTTGTCCACTAAGTATTCATCTATTGTATAATAAACCTTATTAACCAACAGGCTCATTAGTTTTCTCTTAAAAATGTTATTATTTGCAATTTGTAAGAGAGATTTTGGAAGTTTGTTATATATTTTTGGTGCCATTCCTAGTAGGTTTTTCTTAAATATCGTTTTATTATGTAGGGTAAAACTAATTTTATGATTATGTCGTGCACTATTTAAAGTCTCAAAAAGATAGAAATTATTCCTTATAAACATTACCATCTCATATATGTATAAACAAGGTAATGTTAAAATATGAAGTGACAAGAAGTGAGGTCTGCAGCTATCAGTCATCTGTATGCCGCATATCGCTCGAATACATCTTTTTTGGGCTTTGAAAATACTTTCCCTGTTTGTTGAATTCCCCCAATATACAATAACACCATATCGCAATGTAGATGTAACAAAAGCGTGATATGCTATAAGTGCGATTTTCTGGTTCACTATCTTGGAAAGATTATAAAGCGCATAGGAGTATTGATACAGTCGTTTACATATACTATTTGCCTGAGTTTGCCAAGACATATCCCTATCTATTTCAATACCTAAAAATTTAGTGGAATTCGTTTCTTCAATTATTTTAGTACCATATCTTACCACTGGTTTGTTGTGATTGGTTTTTTGTTCAAACGTCATGAGTTTAGTTTTATCGAGGTTCAATTTCAAATTATTTGCTTCTAACCAGTCAATTAACGTTCTCAAGCAGTCGTTTATTTCTGTTTCGAACGTCAAGTGATTATGACTAGGACTGAAAAGCACAGTGCTATCATCTGCAAATAAGACCATTGGATTATGTGTGACTTTGGGCATGTCGTTAATATAAATGAGAAACAGTAGTGGCCCTAAAATACTTCCTTGAGGTACTCCATATTTGGTTAATCTTTGATCAGAAGTGTAATTCTTTTCTATTCTTGACTTAATACATACCTTGCTTAGAGATGTGATTTGTTTCCTGTTTGTCAAGTAAGATTTTATGAGATCACCGGCATTACCCCTAATTCCACATTTTTCTAGTTTTTTCAGGAGTCTCGAACGATCCACAAAATCAAATGCCCGGCTCATATCCATGAATAGAGCCGCAACAGGATTCTTAACATCGATATTTGATATAATTTTTTTATTTAGTTTATATATTGCCATATTAATGTTTTTGTTTTTCCTAAAACCATATTGTTCATCTACTAAAATGTTATTTTGCTCCAAAAACGAATTCAATGAATTATAAATAACTTTTTCAAAAATTTTTGAAAAGATAGGTAGCAAGGCAATTGGCCTGTAATTGCTAAGGTTATCCTTATTGCCCTTTTTGTATAAAGGTGGACTATTAAAGGCTGTTGATGTGATTGTATTGTTATATATAGATGGAAGATATAATATATATGCTATATACAGGGTTACTAACCAAAATACTTTAAGGAGTTGTAGGTGCCATCATGTCTGATAGATTTCACTATGAAATACCATATCCCAAACCTAACCATTTTCAAGATATTGGACTTTTAAGTTTTTTTTTTATAAAAATTGCTAAAATTTTGCCTAATACAATCTTTTTAGAAGTTACGAGTATATCCTCTATTTTATGTTTTTTACTGTTTTTGTTTAGTTGATAAATTGTTTATAACTTCAATTACTAAAATTGTAGTTAACAAACTGGGCCAAAGTAGGTGGTCAATAATAGCAAATATAAATAAATTTGTTAAAAAACTTTTTGACGAATAATATTTAAAAAAAATATATGACAGTCAAACTGCAGATTTATTGCAAAAAAACATGTACGTATTCTCAGCTATCTAACAAAATATAATAGTCTTTTTTTTTTTTTCCGTGCGTAAATCCCCTCGGATACCACCTGTCGGTGGCATATCGGACTCGAATCGACTAAAACCGCACGCCGTCTCGGGTACTAATAGCCGGGGAACCAGGTATACCCTAGAAAGGAAGTCCCTGGTGCCCCGACATACCTCGGGTCATCTACAGACGAGTAGACGACCCCCCCCCCGTGTGGGAACCCCATGTTCCCTGTGCTCCCTGGAGGCGAGCGCGCTTCGCAACGCGCTCGCCGCCACCCCAAGGTATAATAGTCTAGGATTGTATCAGATTGACTTTACGGATGGCGTCACTTACTACAACACTGTGTTGTGGGTTCGATCCCCACATGCGTGATCTCGACACTTTGCGTGATCTACAAATTGTTGTTCTGAGTCTGGGTGTTATTTGTGTCCGTTTCATGTGTGTTTGTAAATTCCAACGCGACACAGGATATATTCTTAATGAGGGAGTTGTTTATTTACTTTTTTTTTTTATTATTTACAACTTTATGCACTTATGTACAACGGAAGGGCTGTTGAGGCCTAATGAGGGAGTTGTCTTTAAAAAAAATATAAGATCTCATAGTAAATGCGATATATAATTATATGTTATGAATTATACAAGATATATACGCATAACAGAGTCCAACACATATGAATTAACGTGCAATTTTTTTTTAATTTCACAACGTGCTACAGCGAAGTGTGGCAGGGTAAAGCTAATTAAATTTGATCTTCGTCACTTTGTCTATTGTTAACCCTTAGATTTATTAGGTTAACCCCGTCTCGTCATCCATCCGTGTGGTAACGGATTAAGAATACATAGTGTCACCACCCCTATTCATCCCATGGGTGTCGTAAGGAAGTAAAGTACGCAGGACGACAGCACTACAAAGAGAAGGAAATCTTGAAATAAACCCTAGACCAACGCGTCTGGCCAGCGTGGTGTAGTATCCCAAAACCTCGTTTCTAAGGAGAGGACTATGTCCAGCAGTGGACTAGTAAAGGCTGTTGATAATGATGAACCCTGTCTCGAGTCACTCTATCCCCCATCAAAGACATCTCTATACTAGTACTGATCCTTAAGTAGAGTCTTCTACAGAATGGAGACACTTCTATTCAGTGAGGCATCCTTTACAATCTATGTCTATTAAAATAAATGAATATCACTCTAACAACGAATGCTAAACTTCTAGAATAGTTAGCTGACTAAGAATTTTCATAAGACCACTGTACACTGTATTAAAAATTGCAGTACCTACAAGATATTTGACGGAATCAGCAGGCCTAAATTGCACAATAATTAAGACAATGACAGCTTCGTGACGAATTGTAATAATCCGTATTTTATTCCTTAATTTTCCGCTCTTAAAGGCGATATTTTTATTTCAAATTTAAATTGCTTCAAACCACAAGTATACCCTCGGAAATAAAATAAGAATTTTCCAAATTGGTAAATAAATTACGGAGTTATAAAGGTCACAAACATGAATTTCTTTCATGTTAATGTTCAAACCGAATTGAGAATTTCCTTATTTTTTAAGTTGTTTAAAAACCCGTACGCTACTTCTCTGATAATTTTTTCCACCCCAGTACACAATAAAAACATAAAATAACAATAGTGTTGTAAATAAAACAATAAAATTGACATAAAAATAAACCCGTTAAACTATTACCCCAAGTAATTTATAAAGATAATTCCTCCATGACTTTACAACTTACGTACTTAATGATTCATAAATTCAGATCAACACATAGATATCCTAATCTTATAATCTACATAAAAAACAACTTGTAAACAATAAATTAAATTAACAATACCTTGGAGAACAGCGACAGAGAACACAACACAGAACAGTAATTTCATTTTGACACTAACACATAACTTTTATACAAATGTATTGAAATTTTATACAAAGTTCTTATTTATATTTTAATATAACACGTCCGTCACTTACGATGCTTTGAAAAATACTAAGTGTATATTATGTTTGATATTGTACACTGTTTGATAATGGGGCATTATGCTTTCCACTCACTGCAGTGAAACGTGTAGCGCTATTTTTAACTAGCCGTAATGTTTGTAGACATTCTAAATACACGGCGGACTCGAGTTAGTCATTTTGTGTATATTTTAAAAACGGTGGCGTGTTGGCTAGATGCCGCGTGTGTGAGTAATGAATGTGGTCTCGATATTTGAGGGGCTTCCCTGTGAGTAATATTGGGGTCGGCCTATTAAATAGTTTATCCTGAGTTTATATTGATTACTCGCTCGTAAAAGAACTTGTTGTTGACAAAGTATAGGTGTAATTGCTACAAACACCCTTTTTTTTTTACGGTTCACTAAACTGGAAATACACTGAAAAATTTAACATAGCATTATTATCTAAAGAACATTAGTGTATTGACTACTAGAAGTACATTTTTTTTATTTTAAAGATTTCTCAAAACGTAACCGATTATTAAACTTGGTTGAAATTTTTAACAATATTTAAATTTTTATAAGTTTATTTCAAGGATAAAATAAATTTCTAATCGCTATGTAATTAATATTTAAATAAAATTAACAATACTTTTAACTTATTGGAACGAAGTTCCTTATTGCTGGTTACACGCTCTGAGCGGATGGGAGCGAGACTGAAAAATGTGTAACAAGACTTTTTTCCGACACGGTTTGTCTACACAAAAACATTTCATACACTCAATTAAGACACGTCTGGCGGTCACACTGGCGGACTAAGCCGGAGGTTGTCGGTTCAATTCTCGACCGGGACAAATAATTGTATGATGGGCATGATCATTTGTTCTGTGTTTGGGTGTAATTTATCTGTAATATGTATGTTTATAGAAATATTTAGGTGTGTTTATCAGAAGTCTGGTTAACATAGCACAGGCTCCTAGTTGTTTTTTTGTGCTTAAATCCTCTCGGATACCACCCACCGGTGGGGTGAATATTTCGGACCAGAAACAACCAAAAACCGCACGCCGTCTCGGGTTCGTACCAGAGATTTCCTTTCTAGGCTACACCAGTAGCCGGGGAATCAGGTGTACCCTGTAGATGAAACCCTCCTGACTTTACGGTCACCCAGCGGAGTGTGTAATGTGTCAAGTTATTATTATTAATATCCGACAAAGGTGATTAGAGGCGTCAAACATAATTTGGCCCCTCAGGTAACAGGAGGCAAGCTTTACCAATTAATGAACCCCACCTCCTTGGCTCCTTGGTATTGAAAAGAAAGGGTAGAAAAGTAAGAGGTTCGAGGTCAGGGTCACATACCTACCTCAAACTAGATGGACTCAGAAAGTAAGTAAGTAAGTAAACCTTTATTTTCTTTAATAGTTATACGGTTATACATATATCCAACATGACGTAATCTACTTTTAGCCCCATAACCGTCAAGGTGACGGATGTGTGGTGTCGGATTAAGAATACGGAGTGTCACCACACCTATTCATCCCGTGGGTGTCGTAAGAGGCGACTAAGGAATCTAACGTGGGACAACAATTACGGCAAAGAGAAGGAAAACTTGACACAAACCCTATACCAACCCGTCTGGCCAGCGTGGTATAGTAGGCCAAAACCTCCTTTCTAAGGTGATGCCTATGTCCAGCAGTGGACTATTAAAGGCTGTTGATGTGATAAACGTCAAGGTTAACTCCTCTCATTCCCACGCAAGTAAATACTGTGTTACAGTTAGGTTAAGGCAATACCAAACAGCTCAGTTGCAGCAATAGCCATTAATGCCAATTTGCAGTGGATTTGCTGAGTCCTTAAACTGGGTATGCCTATTTAAATGAGAACCAGACGAAAGAAATAAACTAAAGTATGAAAATAACGAAACCAACATTATGAGGTGTAGGAGAGTGCGTTTTCGACTGTTGTTGTGGTGTAGGAGTGTGTATTTGATTGTGAAGATGTATGCTTGTGTTTGTGCTTATTTAATTAATAATTAATCTTTATTGGCAAACGGCGCGAAAGCGGCGGAAGCCTAGTGGTTAAGACATTGGACTTGCGATCAAGAGGTCCTGGGTTCGAATCCTAACACTACCGACGTGAACCCACTCCTAACACAAGCAATTTGGCTTAGCTGGAAGGGTTAGCGGGCATACTAGTAATTTCATTTAATAAACCTTTGTAAAAAATAAAAAAATAGTGGTTTACAAATATTATACAGCCCTGATTCCCAAACTAACGCGAGCTGTGTGTAGGGAGTCAGGTCCTTCTCAAACACAAGGTGAACAAATAGTTACAATAGTGGGTAGTTAAGTAGATAATTTGATATTTTTATGTATTCGTGACCTGTATAATCATATGCACCATATCGGAATTGTGGAAAACGTGCAGACCAGCAGAAGCTACACGTTAACGTGTCAAGACCTTTATAATTATGTCAGCGTTTTAAAAATATTCTTATCACAATTTCTTAGTAACGCCGTTCTATCTTCGCTTCAGTTATCAGCAGTTTGTAACATGTCCGATAGATGGGTCTGACGTGTTGGGCTTACTCAGAGCCTAATCTATGGACACAATAATCAAACAGTGAAAGCGATCAGAATGAACAGAGATAATCATAAATAAAAAGGTGTATATCGCAGTAAAAAGCCTTTCAAATAACTCAAACTATCTCTATACCAAATTTTATCTAAATTGCTTCAGCCTCTTAAAGGATGATTACTGGGATATAAACTATCCAATGTCCTTTCCCGGGACTCAAAATTTATCGATATAAACATCTAAATCGGTATAGCGGTTTAAGCGTGAAGAGGCAACAGACAAACAGACAACTTTCGTATTTATAATATTAGTATGGATGTGAAAGTGAGTTTGTTTGTTTGTTAGTTACGCTTTCACGCCTAAACCACTAAACCGATTTTAATCATTCTTTCATCAATTGAAACCTACATTCGCAGCGAGTAAAACGAGTACGAGTATAGGCTACTTTTTACTGAGATAATAAACATACATGCGGGCGGAGCCGCAAACAAATTCTAGTATGTGTATAAATGTTTTCTGTTTGACTGCACGGTAGGCGTAGTGGTTTAGTCACCTCATGTCTTCCTATTACGCTGAGTGTTGTCGGTTCGATCCCCACATAGGACAACACTTTGTGTGATCCACTAATTGTTGTTCTGTGTCTGGGTGTCCCATGTGTCCGTTTCGTAAATGTTCGTAAAGTCCCCTGCGATATAGGATATTTTCCTAGTGTGGGAGTAGTCGATTAAAAAAAAAAGAATTACTGAATATCTCACCCTTAAAGTGCTTAACTTACCTTAATAATCTTGCCTTTTATTACGTAAAAGAGACTTAAATTATACGAGTAGTTGACAAAATAGGGGGTTGATACGCCTCCGTGTGTGTAGGTATGTTTGCAACTTCTGCACTAGAAAAAACCTCGTTTTATCCATACTAACTTCTGTAATAAAAATAAATAAAATTGAAGTGTCTGTTTGTTATGTCAAAATAATAGGTTTTTTTCATGCTCACACTGTTATTTGCACGATACCTATGTCTAAAAACCAGTTTAATTTTTTTTGTCTGTCTGTTCTAAACGGCTGGACCGATTTTGATAATATTTTACTACCCTGGTGTCTATATAAGGAGTAACTTACTAACTACTTTTTCTCTCCGAAAAACCCTACAAAAATTTGCACAGTCCGGGAATGGAACCCACTTTCGGCAGCGCTTTTCAAATTCCACACGAACGAAGTCGCGGGCACAAGCTAGGTAACAAATAAATTGATACTTACTGTACAAATGAATGAATTTATACTAATGAAAAAGCTAATTATTGAAAAAACCAGATCGAATTTGTATATTGGTATTGGTTTCACCATCACGTCACCAAGACGATTCTTGAACTCGGTCGTAAAATCGAATCCAAAAAGCATGAACTTTATGGTGTCTATGAAGCCAATTAAGAGTTCTACTGACCATGTCTAAAATAACAAATAATAGTATTGTTATCAAATCTATTACAAATATCTTAAAAATAACTACTAAGATTTGTTTATACATTCTGTTAATTACAACTCAACTGAAATACCCAAACGTAAAACTTTTATTTTAAGTCGTGTAATAATATTTAGTTTAGCGCCATCTAATGAAGCTTTAATAACTTTACTGTCTCAAAGTGCTAACGTACTTTATTCATTTGTGGAATGGTATGAAATAGTTTGTATAGATGGCGTTGTAATCAGTTTTATAGTGAAAATTTGAGAAAATCACTATTTAATTCTTTTCTTCGGTTATATGTATAATTATTAATTAAAAATTAACGGTAGTATATGCAAACCAGTAACAGATAATATCAAAGATATACCAGAAACTAATATATATTTTTCAGAGCTTGCTACCTAAATTTAGACATAAATTCTGGCGCGACCTTCTGGAGGCCATATCCTTGATTCGAGGTCGCCTGTCCTCAAACGAGGTTACGCCAAGGTCATCAATGACCTTGGCATTGGGTTTTAAGGCCGGAACCTTGTGTTGAAGGTCTCTAAAATTATCTCTGTTGTCATTGATTATTATTTTGAATGATACATTTGCTATTATAAGTAGTTAATATAATTTTTTGCGATGCGATCTGCGATTGCTTGTGTTGTATTGTATTTTTTACGGTAGGAAGTAAACGAGCAGACGGATTAGGACTCCCATTAGGTCAGTTGGACCTCTGGTAACCTCTCTCATGAGGTAAAAATAAAAAAAAAAAACATTAACACTGGGTTTCTATAAGCCAGTAGTAACAACTTACTATAGGGCACTAAAGCCCAACCCAACCCCCCATACGCAGGGGTGAGGGGGTTTTCTGTGACTTCGCTTGCTTGATTGTTTCGTCTTTCTAACTTTGAAACTGATAACCTCCCATGCGACCGTTTATTCCTTATTTTACCCCTTTCTTCTCTTCATTTCTGAGCGGGTTGGTGCCGACGATACTTCATTGGATTACTTACAACATAAAAAGCACCAGCTGCCCAAATTTCAAGTTTGTAGCCCCTTTGTATGTTATTATAAATAAATTACAGGATTCTAGTCTTGTACTACCTGCTAGACCATTGCAAAAAACAACTAACTCACAAAACGCTCAATAGATGGCGTTGTGCCGTTAAAATACATCGCGGTATGGTTTCGTTACCACCACAGTATTTGTTAAAGTCGACTTGAACATACGAATAAGTTTGTAACAGCAAACGGCATCGATAGGAATTGTCATATATAAATTCGTCATAAGAATTTTTGTGGAGCTACACCGTTGTAGCTTTATGAAATCAATACTGAAAACTTCCCTGCATTCTCTTCTATGGCCTTACAGAAAACTGGCGATTAGCAGTTCTATCGTGACTTTTCAATGAGTGAGTTTACCGGAGCCTATACCCTCCTTCCCCGTGATCTAATCAGTGGCGGCGCTACCGAAGGGGTAGACGGTGCTGTGCAACGGGGGACGGAGCTTACCAGCAAACCTCGTATTGATTTAGCTAAAAACTCTCCCATCTTTGGAATGTAAATAAAATAAGTTGTAACACGACTTGAAGGTAGTACTGTCGGCCAGAGAGCTACGGTTTTTTTTTTCAAATTATTCATGTTAGTGAAGTAAATAATATGTTCTTCTTATTTGTTATTTTTTTAAAGACAACTCCCGCATTAGGAATATATCCTGAACTGAAATGATAATTATAAGATTATCTCGTTAAATTTTTGAAAAACTACAAAGAACCAGTTAAATGATATTGAAAATTGAATTTTTTTGCATTTAACATTGAGGCTTATGAGAAATCAGTTTTAATATCATTATATAAAAAGTACCATTTCGATTCCATTCAAAATTGAAAAAATGAAAGTAGGGCCCCGGTTTCTTTTTTGCACTAGGGCCTTTGGTTGTCTAGCTACGCCTCTGCCCCTGATAAATCTCAAAGGGTGGAATTGTGACTCTTTTGATGTAGGTTTCCATGTGCGGATGTAGTTACTTACCATCAAATGACCGGAGAACTCTGCGAGGGCGTGGTATTACCACGGTAGAGCCAGTCCATTTGTGCCAGAGCATGGCTTTCCCACTATAACTCTCAAAGTTCTTAATTTAGTTTCACGCGAGTTCCTACGGATCCCCGTATAAGCATTTGCATTCTCCTTTTTTAAATTAAAAAAGGACATTATATAAAGGAAAACGAAGAGAGGCAATTGTTGAATGTCATTGAAAACAGAAGAGGCAAAATGGTTGGCCACTTGATAAGACACGACCACTTTTTCAGAATAATACTGGAAGGAAAAATGGAAGGCAAGAGAAAACGGGGACGGCCTAGATCAACATACATACAGTAAGTAGTAAGTGTAAGAGAAAGTGGGAGTCGTAGCCTATCAAGAGGTATATAAATAAAGAAGAGCTCAACAAGGGCTTGGCTCTTAATTTAAGAGCCAAGGCCGTCGCCGTCATTTTTTTTAAAGGTCTATTAGCAACCAAAATCACTATTCCCGTTAACCCCTCCCGCTAAGCTAAATTGCTTGTTAGGAGTGGGTTCACATCGGTAGTGTACTGGTCAGGATTTGAACCCACTACCTCTTGATCGCTAGTCCAATGCCTTAACAACTAGGCTACCACCGCTTAAATAAAATTAAAAACATAAATTTCAATTAACTTTATTACGTACAAAAAGCTAAAAATTTAACAATAGTGACTAAATTACGGTAACTTCTATTTATTGTACGGTTTTTACATAAATTCACTAAAAATATATACAGAGTGTTTTTAAATGAAATATTTTTTTCCTGTTAAAAAAAGACAACTCCCGCATTAGGAATAAATCCTGTGTCACGGGGGACTTTACAAACATACATGACACAAAGAACACCCAGACTCAGAACAACAATTTATGGATCACACAAAGTGTCGTCCCATGTGGGGTTTGAACCCACAACACTCGGCGTAGTAGGAAGCGGTGTGGCGACCGCTTAAACCACTCCGCCATCCGTGCAGTCGTACATCATAAATACATAATTTATAAAAATATATACCTACACTTCCCATAAATTTAATTTTTTTTTTGTTCATTCAACGGAAAACATAATATATAATTTATTTTTTATAAAAATGTAGTTTTTGAAAATTATACAAACCAAGTACTCCATTATGTATAAAAATTGCCTTTTTTTGTCACACGTTAAATATAAATAATGGTTTTAAATATTTAGTATACTTTTCACCGGTCTGACCAGAGCGGTATAGTCGGCCAAAACCTCCTTTCTAAGGAGAGGCCTATGTCCAGCAGTGGACTATTAAAGGCTGTTGATGTGTGATATACTTTCAAGCCATTTCTAAATGAATACAGAGAGAGATAGAAACAGTGAGTAACACAATAATAAAGAATAAAATCCTTTTAAAAGATAGATTTAATGAAACCTACGTTAGTATGGAATTTCAAAGAAACTTTCAATAAGTCTTAGTAATTCACAGTGTCTGACATTAAAAACAAAGAAAAGACACTAATTTTATATCTAATAATAATAATAATATATCTCACACATCTCACACACGGCCATCTGATCCCAAAATAGGCAGAGCCTGTGCTATGGTAACCAGACTGCTGATAAACATACTTATTTATTTTATAAATACATACATATTATAGATAAATTACACCCAGACACAGAACAAATGACCGTGCTCGTCACACAATATTTGTCCTTGGTGGGAATCGAACCCACGACCCACGACCCTGACTGCCAGAGGCTTAGCAGTCATTGTCACTAACCACTAGACCAACAGGCCCGTCGAACTAATTGGAAGAGTTTTCGCGAAACACACTCTAATAACTTACAGTAAACATTATTGTACGAGTATGTTTTTGAAATATTCATAATAGATAACACAGACGAACCTTAAACTACCCTAAATAATAGTAAAAAATATATTATTTCATTTAAAAACAACCTGTATATCGTGACTTAAGTAAAAAAACTTAAAAAAACAAGTACTTACTTAATACATAGGTATGAATGTCATGGCACTTAAATAATATAAAAGTTATAACATTGTTCAAACTGTGGTAACAACATTTCCTTAAACAATTTAAAATAGAAGGTATTTTGAAGAAATTAACATCAATATAAGGGTCATAAAAAAGATTAAACACTGGAAAAGCTTATAATTTTAAATTATATAGTGACTATCTTTTAAAAATAGCCAATTCATTAAATTAATTCAAACAACAAAAATTTTATCAACACAAAGAGTCAATAAATTAACAGTGTGGTATTAATACAGTTAAATAATTCATAAACGATAAATAAAACTCAATAAATCATTTCTATATTGTCAAATAATAATAATAATATTTTCGGACATCTGACACACAACGCCATCTAGTTTCAAACTAAGCAGAGCTTGTACTGTGAAAGCCATTTTTTTTTTATCCAACTTTTAGAATTACTGGCACTGTCTCCTTAAAGTCTTCTTAAAAACTGTTTTTTTAATTATCAAAGACAATTCTGTCCTTTTATATAATATAGAAGACTCTCTGATGTCTCTTGATGGTAAGTGTCTATCACCACCCATGGACAACTGCAACTCAAAAGACACGCAAATGCGTTGCCACTCTGTGAGTGCCCTCTCCTAGAAGTTTTGTGAAGGGGGTTATCTCTCAGGTTAACTCACTTACTGGGTGGAAAGCCAGGAATAATTACTTAACATCGAGTAAAGACCATGGTGTCACTCCGGTATCAGTCCAGCATCAGTCCAGTATCAGTCCATTTGCCTAGAGCACGGCTTTTCCACGGTAACTCTCAAAGTTCTTTATAATTTCGAAATACTTTGTTGACGTCTTTTGAGGTTACGTACACAATAAAATTAATTTAATTTTAAGCAGATTGAGAGAGTTGGAAAATAAACCAAATCAACTTTCCTCCATTCTTGAAATGATGAAGGCACATTCTAGAAGACTTCTTTCCTAAACGTGAACCCAAACTGATCACACTTTACCCTCAGTATCTTGGCAAGCTGCGGAGGTCCGCAGTAGAAGACAGTAACCTTGCCTTTGTTCTGCTCTTGGAGCTGTTTAAAAACCTTGTCCCAGTTCGGTCGTCCGGCATTCGTGCGAGTCTTCAGACCGGTTATCAGGTCACGTTTCTCCTGAAATTAGAAGAAGAGTATTCTTGGTCTTAGCAGTCTACTACGGATATGCAGGCTTTGAAATTTGTTACCTCTCCAACGGTCTTTTTGAGAGAACGTGTATTCTTAGCGTACAGAAGCCATTACCTCATAAAACCTTATAAATTCACACCTATATCTCCGAAGGGTTGATTAGGGGGCGTATGAACTCGGGGCACCAGGGACTTCCTTTCTAGGATATACCTGGTTCCCCGGCTATTAGTACCCGAGACGGCGTGCGGTTGAAGTCGGTTCGAGTCCGACATGCCACCGATAAGTGGTATCCGAGGGGATTTCCGCACGGAAAAAAAAGGGGGCGTATGAACTGACCACGTTTTATCTTTTTTTATGGAATAGGGTACAAACGAACAGAGGAGCTAAGGCAGAGTTTATTTTACATCAACTTACTCTCGACGACGACGACCTTCGTTGCGATTGGTGAAGATTTCAGTTTGAACCAATCACAACACCGTACGCGGTCACCGTGACTATCGAGTTGATGGGAAACAAACCCACACTAGGTTCTCAGATTGGTCACCTGATGGTAAGTAACTATAGTACTGAGTGAGGGATCAGAGGAGGCTACGGTAACCTCACTCATTCAACAACAGCCTTTAATAGTCCACTGCTAGACATAGGCCTCTCCTTAGAAAGGAGGTTTTGGCCTACTATACCACGCTGGCCAGACGGGTTAGTATAGGGTTCTCTTCAAGTTTTCCTTCTCTTTGCAGTGCTGTTGTCCTGCGTAGTTTGCTCCCTTAGTCGGCTCTTATGACACCCACGGGATGAATAGGGGTGGTGACACTCTGTATTCTTTATCCGTCACCACACGTGTGTTCACTCATTCAGCATAATTCAACGAAAGAATAATTGCTTAGTACCATTTTTTGTGAGGCCGTTGTGTCACGCAGCCATTTGCAAAGAAGCAAAATTTTCTCACGATTATTTGATATCCATAAAACTTATAACCTACTTAAAAATTTGAGTGTTTTTGGACATCCAAAGCGCTAGAACCTTTATCTGATCAAATTATAATAATTACAGAAGCTGATGGCTTAGACAAAGCCACAAAGTCAAAATGTTAACCTTTTCATGCAGTAAGTCCAAAGCCAATTGTAGTCCAACAGCTTTCATGTCGTTCCTCTGTAACGCGCTGGTGATGTACATGTGCATCTCCAGGAATCGCTCCATGGCTCCCCCTTGTTCCGCCTGCTCAATCTCGAGTTGGGAGAGCAGAGACACGAACCACTCAAAGGACCGTTGTTCGCGATTTATCCAGAAGAAATCCACCTTAAAAAAATTATAATAATGTTCAATTTTTTTGAGAATATACAGAATAAACATAGAATTTTCGGGATTCCATGGAATTCTTCACTTGATTGGGACTAGTTTAACAAGAAATACTGTAATGTTGTGCAACTTTGTCTACTTCTCGCAAAAGGATTAAATTTTCTACGTTTTGCATCATTTTTTATTGATACTCGGCTCCTATGGGTCACAGCGAGATGTTATATATAGCCTCTAGTCTTCCTTGATAAATGGCATACCTAACACTAAAAAATAAATTCAAGTCGAACCAGTAGTTCCTGAGATTAGCGCGTTCAACAAAACAAATTCATTAACTTTATAATATTAGTTCTGATTGAAATAACCAAATTCGTTTCCTTTCGTACAAAATACGAGTCAACACAAAGGAAACCAATAGCCACTCTTGGATAGTTTCAAACCTTGTTACTACATGATCCAATAGAAATGACTTCCACCACCACCACCACTACCACCAAATCACTTACCTTCCACCACCAAATGACTTACTTAGAAATGACTTACCTTCTTCAAATTCATATTATGTCTCGGCATATCAGAAGCCCATTTATGTGAACATTTAGGGCACTCGTGTCTTGCACTCCAGTACCTGTACATAATGGCCTGCAGGATGGACGCGAAAGGAGTGACACCGATTCCAGCGGCCACCAAGGCTGCGTGTTCTGCCCGGAATATGTGCGAGGATGCTGCTCCATACGGACCATCCAGATATATCTGAAATGTTTATACAACTCCTTAGTACGTAACACTGCTTTTATTATTGATGTTTCTGTCCTAGTGACCTCAGGAATCGCAGGATGAACACAATGGATTTACGACTCCGGTTTATTCTAGCTATTACAGTCTCAGTTCGGTTATCCATCCGAGAATTACGCTATCCCTTGCCCCACTCACAATTTCCCTTTTTTCCTTTTTCCTTTTCAAAACTGATTATATTCCTAAAAAAACTAGTGTCAGGCTGGCGGCTGCCTTGACAGAACCCAGCCAAAACTTTAGTAATAGTACGCATTGCGCCGATCTCAAATTGAAGGTCAGACTAGCTCAGAAAATGATGATGAAAATGTTTTATAGAACTTTAACATGGGCTCAACAGTACAGCTCAACTTGATTCTGATAAAAATTTAATAAAGTAAATTTATGTATGATATCTAAAGACTGCGAACAAATGCAAACTGACGGGTTCAAAGCAATAATTTATGGTGCCTGTTGTCAATAGTAAAAAGCACTCCACGCTTATAAATAAATAAATAAATGGTTTATAAATAAATGGTTTTATATAAAAAGCATGTTTTTTAGTTTTTAAAACTATTTTTTTTATTAGTGTATTGTCATCGGTCCTCGATATATCTATAAAGTTTGAACGAATTCTGACCGTTTAAAGTCAGTCAAAATCACGCCCAAAGGAGTTGGTTACAAACAAACAAACATACAAGTGTAGCTAATATAAAGCGTATAAAAAAAGCTTCCATCTTGCAACGTCTGTAGAATATCAACAACAGCATTCCGAAAGTCAATGCTACAAAGTTTGAATGCCCTATTTAAAAGTATTGGATGAAGGTAGTTATAGGCATACTATAAATATAAAGTTAATGTGACTTAATTATAAAGAAATTGTTAATAACACAATGAACTGCATCACTGGTCTGAATTTAACCCAGATAAGCCTACTGTCCCATATGTCTGCAATGCACTTTTAGATATACTTTTCAATGAAATATTTATAAAATGGATAGTATATTAAAACTGCACCTTTTTATAATTTTTATTTCAATAGCACATTAGCTCTCACTACAAATCCATTAAATATATTCTGTTAATATGTGCGTAAGTTGAAATATTTTTTTATTTCTACCGTCCTACATATGGGACAGTAGGCTTATCTGGGTTAATGATTATTGTAATTGCCGTTTCAGCCGTTACAACAGATGTTAGTGATACTTAAGGACATAGTATTTACCTCTAAAGGTTTTCCAATCGGATAGTTTTCAACATCATCTGTGGTTATGGAGCCGTTGTTATCAGAAGCATCTGCGTTAGGTTGAGACTCCACATCTCTGTCCGGCGACAGGCTCTTCGATAGCCGACGTCGTGCTGTGAAAATGAAGTAATTAGAAATTTCTACCATAAATCTAAACCTCAATTAAGGGTTATGGTTAGTTTACGGAGGGAAGTATCTCCTTTCAGGTGAGGTGATTATGTCGGATGGTCGTTTTATATGGGCAAGTTCTCTAAATATATATATACTAGCGATCTGCCTCGGTTTTGCACGGGTGCAATGTAGATACTACTAATGTGGTGTCAGTGTGGAGTAATTCATTTTACTATTATGATAGGACTAATCGAAAGTTTCGGATTATCTCTGCTATAATATGCATGTATTCTACATATAAACCTTCCTCTTAAATCACTCTCTCTATTACCTAGTTTAAAAATCCGTTGCTTAGTTTAATAGATTTAAGCGTAAGAGCAACTTTATTTTATACTATGTCATCATCATCACATCAACAGCCTTTAATGGTCCACTGCTGGATATAAGATTCTCTTTAGAAAGAAGGTTTTGGCCTACTATACCACGCTAGCTGGGTTGGTATTGGGTTTGTGTCAAGTTTTCCTTGCTGTTGTTGTGCGTAGTTTTTTCCGTTAGTCGGCTGTCACGACACCCACGGGATGAATAGTGGTGGTGACACTCTGTATTCTTAATCCGTCACCATACGGACCTTTTAATACTATGTAAAGATCTATAAATGTTAAGTTGGTTTGTGTACGCTTAAAAAACCCAAAAAGTTCTAAGCTGACTGAGCTCAAATTGTGACACGATATACAACATGTTTCAAATATGGTTGTTATCTATTCCTCCTTATTCTTTATTTCTTATTAATACAACCATAATGAGTCACAGCGAAGCTTGCAGGGTACGTCTAGTAAAATACATAAATGTGTACTTATCAAAGCAATTACGATTGCGCGATGCAAGATAAGTAGTAACTATGTAGTTCGGTTTGTCTTCGGTAGATGGCATTGTACTTGCAAATATGTTTATAGGTCTTAAATAAAATTAGAAATACTCCTAAACTTAACAAATTAAATAAACGAATAGATAGTTAGTTCAGAACTAATTTTGTTTAGAGCTATCATAAGTTCTCCAAACATGCTTGAAGAATCCTAATCCATCGTTGTATTCGATACAACTTTCAATAATTATCTGAAGAACACCAAAGTAACGGTGCTTACCGAGAGTGAGTATGCTGTCATTACTACTCCTCCTGTCTTCGACGCTGGGCGTTTTAAAGGCGATGATGGTGGGTTTGGTGCGCATGTAGCGGAAACTGTGCGCCAGGGATTTGTTGTGCGGAGCTCCGCGAGCGCGCGTCCGCAGCGAGCGCGCCGCGCCGCCGCCCCCGCCGTCCGGGCTCTCCGCCGCGCCCAGCACGCGCTCCGACTCCGACCGACTCAACACGTTGAGGCTGGAAAAAATACACACCGTCATTATCATATCCATCATCTAAATAAATTAAAAAACAATAACTTTACGCATCTCACACACCGTCTGATCCCAAACTGTCTAGTTTGCCTAGAGCCTGTACTATGGTAACTAAACTACTGATAAACATACTTATATATTACTAAATACATATGTAGTTTAAGTTAATTACATCCAGAACCAGAACATATGTTTTTCTTCTTGTAATAATAGTTGTTTTTAAAGGAAATAAATAAATTGACGACCGGATGGCGTAGTGGTTTGTGTAACGGACTGCTATTCTAAAGGTCGCGGGTTCGATTCCCGCTCAAGTCAAACATTTGTGTGCATTAACATTTGATGTTTGATTTGGTCTGGGTGTTTCTATGTATAATATGTATGTATTTACAAAAAAAGTATACATGTATTTATATCAGTTGTCTAGTACCCATAGTACAAGCTCTGCTTAGTTTGGGACTAGATGGCGTTGTGTAAATGTGGTAGAATATTATTATGTTATTTTAAATATTTTTCTAAACAGTCTTGTCAAATAATATCTTAAATCATAGAAAGCTAACGAACATCAATTTATAGGCAGTTATATTATATCACATCACATCACACATAAACAGCCTTTAATAGTCCACTATTGGACATAGGCCTCTCCTTAGAAAGGAGGTTTATATCTGATTCCCATAATTCAGGAACACTTAAATCGCCTCAGAATTGCCTCGGAACCAATTAATAATAAGACGTGGCTAATTGAGAAATGCTTCTAAATGCTTATTGAATTTATGAATCACAAAATAATTTATTAAAAATTTCAAAACTACGTTTTTTATCTCTGATATTGTGTTGTGTCATCATCATCATCATCATCATCAACAGCCTTTAATAGTCCACTGCTGGACATAAGCCTCTCCTTAGAAAGGAGGTTTTGGCCTACTATACCACGCTGGCCAGACGGGTTGGTATAGGGTTTGTGTCAAGTTTTTCTTCTCTCCGCAGTGCTGTTGTTCTGCGTAGTTTTTTCCCTTAGTCGGCTCTTACGACACCCACGGGATGAATAGGGGTGGTGACACTCTGTATTCTTAATCCGTCACCACATGGTGTTGTGTAGTAGGCGCTAATTTAAATTCAATTGAAACTTATTGACATTAGATCTAGCTGTATTTTTATATGAATAGATTATATAAATTTCAATTAATCTCGACTTTTATTGACATTTTAGTTTTAAATTTGTGACACTTATTAATTGATGTTAAAATTGTACCTGTATAATCAAGTTAGGTTCTAGCTACCGACTTAAAAAACATCTGAAAAGATTTACTTGCAGAAATAAATATCATTTCATTTCAATGTAAAATTAGCATGCCATATCCGCGGCGGCACGGCACATATGTATGATTAACCTTGGAACTTTAATTACTGTTCCAGAGAATCAATTACTATTTAATTATATTCTATCGTTCTAATGCTGTCTTTTATTATCATAAAAATATGTATTTTAGGGCTGCGACGGTGAGCAAGTTATGCTCGCGAATGAGACGGCGGAGCGGGATCGGGAGAGGTTTAGGACTCTCCCGCCAGGCCCGCCAGGCCCGGGAACGAGCCAGGTACCGCAGGCGACTCAGGCGCCGGAGGTCGCAGAACGACCTCCGTCCTCCATAAGCGCAGGCCTGGCGGTGACAGGTGAGGCCATCTGTCACCCTAGCAGAAGCAGGCCGTGGTGGCGGTGGGTCTGTAGATGACCCGAGGTATGTCGGGGCACCAGGAACTTCCTTTCTAGGGTATACCTGGTTCCCCGGCTATTAGTACAAGAGACGGCGTGCGGTTTTAGTCGGTTCGAGTTCGACATGCCACACATGATTTCCGCACGAAAAAAAAAAAAAAAGGGCTGCGACGGTAGCTTACTCTATATAAGAACATATGTCAATAAACCCGGCTTCGGATATTTATAATAAAAAAAAATTGTTTTTGCTCTTGTCTAGGTATTTTTAGGCAGGTAATTGTGATCATCCTTCTTCTAAAATTCACAGTTATAGCGGTCTGGATAGCGCTGTTCAATATGCGTCAGAATATTATTACTATATTATATAAACTACGAGTAATATATCTTACGCCAAGGCCATCTGTTTCTTCTTCACATTCTTCTGAACGTCTGGCATAGAGCGCGACTTCGCCAGAGTCCTAGGAGCCAGCAACAGGGGGTTGTATGTAGTGTTTATGGGAGACACAGCTGAAAAAGGACATTAATATAATATTCTCAAACATTTCACACACGGCCGTCTTATCCCAAACTAGGCAGAGCCTGTACTATGGTAACCAGACTGCTGAAAAACATACTTATATATTTCTAAATACATACATATTATAAATATAAATACACCCAGACACAGAATAAATGACCGTGCTCATCACACAATTATTTGTTCTGGGTGGCAATCGAACCCACGACCTCTGCCGTAGCAGTCAGGATCACTAACCATTAGACCAACAGGCCATTGCAAGTATTTTTAAGTGATAAAAGTTGTAAAGCTTTTAAGAACTTTCTATGTCATCGTCTTGACAGTTGTTATGAAAAACGTCCAGAATGTTTACAGATAGAACTATTGGGGTAGTTTTCTGTAAGATGATGACAGATGCAGGAACTGTTAGCATGGGGCTGGTACGAAGAATTGTTCGGACTAATACCAGCCGCAAATCTCTGCCATCGTTCCATACGGCAAAATTTTCATCTTCATCTCCTGGATAGTTGGCGCTCCACTACTGTGCTCGTTTCGAGACACTTTTTGCCCTGCACTACCAATCTGTGCAACGGGTTATCGTCTGCTGTATCTCCGGACTGATATGACCTTCAAACCTTCAAAAAAGCTACTTCTTCCTAAAAGGCTGACAACGCGTTTGTGACTCCTGAGTTGCAGACGTTCATGGTCGTCGATGGTCACTTTCCAACAGGTGACTCGTCTGCTCGTCTGCCCCCTCTAACATTAAAAAAAACGAGCAGCTTTACTTTGAAACCACTAAAAATCACGTGCTCAGGATAGATTAAATTCAGTTTTACTTATAGCTTTTACCATCCAAGAATCCTTACGAAAAAGAAGATGCCAAGATAACTAGTAGATAGATGAAGAAATTAGCCAGTTAAAAATAAACTTTACCTTCATTGCCTTTGGAGTCGTTGTTCTCGTTCTCATCAGCAACATACGCTTCATTAGTGAAGCCTGTTGGGGGAGGAGAAAAGTCCACAGATTTCTTTTTGTTGCTACACGAAGACAACTTACGACTTTGCTTGCTTTCAGCAGACACTGAACGGGCCAGTTTTCTAAAAGGAAGAATAGATCAGATCAACACATCAACAGCCTTTAATAGTTCACTGCTGCGCATAGGTCTCTCCTTAGAAAGGAGGCTTTGGCCTACTATACCAAGCTAGCTAGACGGGTTGGTATAGGGTTTGTGACACGCTGGTTACAGCCCAGGGAGCGGACTTTTAAGAGGCGGCGCGCCTAGCCACCAAGGGATTCTATCTGGTGGTCGGGCGCATTGAGGCGCTGGGTGGCCCTGGGTAAGACGGAGGCCCTATTATTCCATAGGCCCCGTCGTGGTCCACCCCCCGGCGCCACAATCGTGGTCAACTCGGTCCTCGTACCGGTTCAGGCCCAAAAGAAATATCTGGGCCTGATCCTCGACGGAAGGTGGCTCTTCGACGAGCACTTCCGACAGCTTGCTCCAAAGGTGGTCGGCGGCGGCAATTTGGGTGGACCCAGCGTCGCAACGAGACGGCTGTACACGGGGGTTGTCCGGTCAATGGCACTGTACGGTGCACCGGTGTGGGCGGCGGCTCTGACCGCCCAGAATAGGGCACGCCTCTGGCGCCCTCAGAGGATATTGGCGGTTAGAGCCATACGCGGTTACCTTACCGTTTCGACGGAGGCGGCGTGCGCATTGGCCGGTACTCCCCCGTGGGATTTGGAGGCGGAAGTGCTCGCCGGAGTAAATCGGCGGACGGCTGAGTACCGGGCGGATAGTGGCGGGTTTTCCCCTCCACCCGCTATAACGGTCAGCCGCGAGGAAGCCATGTCCGCGTGCGGAGATTTTACCCGAAGGTGGTGCCCGGATGTCTTAATAACAGCAGTTCCCGGATCCATCCTATTAAAGGCGCAGAGTGGCACACCTTGTGGTTTTAGTCGGTCCGATTCCGACACACCACCTCGCCACAAACCCCAGTGGGGTGACGGCCCGAGGGGGTTTCCACACGTAAAAAAAAAGGGTTTGCGTCAAGATTTCCTTCTCTTAGCAGTGTTGTTGTCATGATAAATAGACACACGGATTATCTGGTTTGGCTGGTCCAAATGCGCCCTGATCCTCATATAAATAGGCATGCTTAGTTTAGGGGCACAGTCATTGTTGTTTTAACTCAATGGGCACAGTGAATTAAAAATCACTAAAAACTAGAACAGGTTTGTTATGGCTGTAACTGTGTTGTTCGGATTTTTCTACTGCCTAAAACAGAGTTCATATTATTTCTAAGTGGATCTATGTATGAGTATTTAGACACATAAAACATTATTATTATATATTATTTTAATCTACTGCTTCGAATTAGGTCAGGCCGTAAACCTTGAGTTATTACTTCAACTATCCAGAATAATGTAGATAGGTTTCGCGATAGCCTATCGTCCTATTAAAGACCAACGTCAATCCTTTTCCGCGAGATTTTTTCTTATGGTCTAAAGAGGCAAACCAGCAGACGGGTCACCTGATGTTACGTAACTACCGCCGCCCATAGACACCAGCAGCTCAATAGTCACATCCTTGCCCTTTGAGTCCCAACCCACAGAATCAGAGAGAGGGGGTGGGATTGCGATTAGATCTCCGGTAACCTTCCTCACTCGGTGAAAAGTAAAGAAAGAATTGATTAGCACCTAAACTGGTGCGAATTAATTCTTTGAAGCCGTGGTATCATTCTGGTCGAGTCAGCCAATTTGTGACTCCAATGGCTGCTAGATAGATGATCTATGTATATTTTAATACTGACAGAAAAAATAATAAACCTATCCTAAAAATCTCTCGCGTAAATGCATCGGTTACTCACTGGTGTCCATTTTCGATAGCCAAAGTCTCAGGTCCATGTAGTCTAGCTTGTTCTTGCTCAAAATAAGAATATAGCCGATTTGTCCATTGACCAACACCTCGGACATGGAGCCACAAGTAATCTGAAAGAATAAAGAAGAAACAGATTCTTAGTAAAGCCTGAAAACTCCTCTTGAATTGACTGCACGGATGGTGTAGGGTTTAAGTGGTAACCTCACCGCTTTCTACTTCGCTGAATGAACTCACTTAATAAATTATCACTTAATGTGATCCACAAATTGTTGTCTGGGTTTTCTTTGTAAATATTTGTGAAGGGGTGGCTTCACAAACATTCACGCAACGGACAAAGAATGCGGATATGCAAACGGACGCGACGCGGAATGTATTTCTGGAAGCACTTTCACATCATCACATCATCAGCCTTTAATAGTCCACTGCTGGACATAGGCCTCTCCTTAGAAAGGAGGTTTTGGCCTACTGTACCACGCTGGCCAGACGGGTTGGTATAGGGTTTGTTTCAAGATTTCCTTCTCTTTGCAGTGCTGTTGTCTTGCGTATTTTGCTCCCTTAGTCGGCTCTTACGACAACCACGGGATGAATAGGGGCGGTGACACTCCGTATTCTTAATCCGTCACCACATGGAAGTCCGCAGTAAGCACTTTGGTTATGACGAAATGAATGAGATGAGAGAACATTTGTTGCTGCGAGTTTGTTCCACATCTTCTTCTTTCTAACTAAAATACAAGGAAGTGGTGGTCGTTTTTGGGAGACTGTCTTTATATAAACAATGGCGTTCAAAAAGTGCTCGCATGCAGCTTAACTTGAATAATGACTTTTAATTTTGAGCATATAAAGTGTAGTTTGACGACCGAATGGCGTAGTGGTTTGTGTAACGGACTGCTATTCCAAAGGTTCGATTCCAGCTCAAGTCAAACATTTGTGTGTGCATGAACATTTAATGTTTGATTTGGTCTGGGTGTTTCTATGTATATTAAGTATGTATATGCAAAAAAAAAAGTATATATGTATTTATATCAGTTATCTAGTAGCCATAGTACAAGCTCTGCTTAGTTGGGACTAGATGGCATTGTGTAAATGTGGTAGAATATTATTAGTTCTTATGTTTGCTGCTCAAAATAACGAATGAAGCTTATGAGGAAAGAACCTGGAAATTTATAGATACCTTCTTGCTCAGGAGCGCTACTGATGGTGAATGGGTGCCATTCGTAAGTGGCTATAGCAGGAATATTGACGAATACGTAATCTCCAGCGTGGAAATCCAGAAGGGGCGGCCGCTTTACGACCAGGTGCGTCACACGGGATGGTAGCAGAATACCTGAAGATATGTAAGTATTGCCGCGTTCTGACCTGGAATAAAGTTTAACTCGAAATGAAGTACCACAATGATACCAGATGTATGGGAAGAACAAATTTAGATAGGTTTTTCTACTTTAATTTTGTGATAACTTTTCACAATAAGTGGTCGATATGACCCTCTGTATCAAGTAAGTATTCGATAGAATATGTTGTCAATGTTGATGGTGTTAGAGTCTATGGTAGACATATGCCCTAAGCATTAAGTCCACTGATGTACAATCATCATCATCAACAGCCTTTAATAGTCCACTGCTGGACATAGGCCTCTCCTTAGAAAGGAGGTTCCGGCCTACTATACCACGCTGGCCAGACGGGTTGGTATAGGGTTTGGGTCAAGTTTTCCTTCTTTTTGCAGTGCTGGTGTCCTGCGTTGTTTTGCGCCCTTAGTCGGCTCTTACGACACCCCCGGGATGAATTGGGGTAGTGACATTCCGTATTCTTAATCCGTCACTACACGGACTGATGTACAAAAATGCATAAAATTATGTAAATAAGAAGTAAATAAAAACATATCCCTATATAAGCTTCAGGTACCTGACTGGGAACTGAGAAGTTTATTACAAAACAGCATTGAGATATTGTTGTAGAAAGACTTCTAAGGAGAGCTTTTAGATGATAAGAGATGCTTCTTTAAGGACGTCCTTGGACCATACCCATGTTACCCCCCATAAAACTATCTTAACAAGACCCTAGTGTATCTTATGGTATATATATTTACCTCAACCAAGCTAATCTCATAATCCGTTCTGATAAGTAAACAGTCCCGGGGATCACGAACCATTTCCAGAAGTTCGGTCCGTGGAACAGAAGCAGTAACCAGAATGGGACGTACAGCAAATGGGTCCAGTAAAATATCTGGATAAAAATACAATTACATTCGTTAATTAACATAGAAGTACAGTATATCTTTTCTATATGTAGGTACTAATACTGCTTCGGTCGTGCAATGGTAGCATATGCGACTGCTGCTATGATCTGCAAATGTTTGCTTCTGAGTTTGAGTGTTTTCTATGAATAATATGTAGGTATTTGCAAAAAAAAAGTATAAAAGTATTCTATCATTCTATCTAGTTTTCATAGTGCAAGCTCTGCTTAGTTTGGAACTAGATGGCGTTGTGTGTCAGATGTCTGAAATATTATGTAAATTAATATAATAAAGCTATTTTATCTCTATCACTAGAATCTAAGTTTTAGGCATCGTAACGAAACCACTGGAATGATCTACCAGGCAGAGGGGCCATAACCTTCACGGTACTGATGCCTGTTTCAAATTGAAAATGTCTTTTAATATTGGAAAGTATATTTATCAAACATTCTATAGTGAAATGATGACGTTATTATTATTAGTTATTGTAAGCCCTACCGCCTTCTAAAAAACTATTACGAACGTGTAAAGTGAAATATTTCAAATCAAATCAAATCAAATCAAATCTTTATTTGCCAACCAAGTGTACATCAATGATCTTATAATATTATATGTAGTAGTCCCAACTCAGAAGCCTTTTCCAGGCATTGCAAAAATTTGAGAGAGAACGCAGAAGAATAAATTGTTACACAAGTACAAGCATTTTTTGAACAATACAAATTAAGTGACTCAATAGTACAGTATAACAATCGAATAAAGCATGCAAAAATACGAAGGCACCCGACATTCTACATCACTAATACATATACACATTTTCCTACTGTCCCTAGCATTTCCGAGCATCACGACCGATTTTTCTTTTTATGATTTGTACTTAGGTATATGCTTTCTGTTTTCCGTGTAATAAGAAATGTAGTTTGTTAAGTGTTTTTTTCCTCAATGTATTCTTTAACAGAATAGAAACATTTTGTAATTAAGAATGCTTTTAGTTTTTTAATGAAAAGTGTAGTCTTCGTTTCATTTTTTATGTGGATAGGTAATTTGTTGTATATTTTTACAGCCATGTAGTAAGGGCTCTGGTGTAGCATTTTAATTCTTGATGGTGGTAGGTATAGTCTGTCTCTGTGGCGTGTGTTTAAATTGTGATTGTCTTTTACTCTCGCGAAGTGACTCATGTTCTTGGATACAAATATGCAGATGTCAAATATGTATAATGATGGTAGTGTGAGGATGTTATATTTAATGAAGAAGGGCCTACAACTATCACGATTTCCAATTTGTCCGATAATTCTAATACATTTCTTTTGTAATATAAATAAATCCTGAAAGTGTACACTGTTTCCCCACAACATAATGCCGTATCGTAACCAGGAGTATGCGTATGCGTAGTATGCTGACAGTGCGGTTTTTTCGTTTGTGCTGCATTTAAGTTGGAATAGAGCATATGTAAATCGAGACAGTTTATTTTTTGTATGTTCGATGTGTGCTTTCCAGTTGATGTGTGTGTCTATTGTTATACCAAGTAATTTGAATGTATCTACAGTTTCTAGTTGTGTGCCATTGTATGTTGTGTCGATGTTTACGGGGGTGTTTCTGTATGTTCTAAATTGGATAGTTTTTGTTTTGTTATAGTTAATTTCTAAGTTATGGTCGTTGAGCCAGTTATTTACTGTATCTAGAGTTTCCTGAAGTAGTGGTGTCAGCTTTGTGGTTTTGTCATAAGTAATTAGTATTGATATATCATCAGCAAATAGGACAGGTAATGTATGTTCCTTGTTTAGTACTTTTGGTAAGTCGTTGATGTATATCAGAAATAGCACACAACCCAACACGCTGCCCTGCGGGATTGAACACTTTATGTTCCTTTTTTCAGACCGGACTATTTTAACCTCATTCGTATTGGGGTCGAAATGGTCAATTTGGACCATTTGTGATCTATTTTCTAAATATGATCGAAACCATGTGTAAGCTGGGCTGCGAATACCAGAACCGCTTAGTTTATTCAAAAGAATGTCGTACAATACTTTGTCATAGGCTTTCGTCATGTCAAGTAATACTCCGAGTACATGTTTTTTGTCATTTATATGTTTTATGGTAGTCTGGATATACTTATATACTGCTAGTGTAGTTGATCTTGATTTTCTAAATCCATTTTGACTATCATCGAGAATGTTATATTTTTCTAAAAAATCGTATAATCTGTTACACATTGTTTTTTCAAATACTTTCGAAAATGTGGGTAACAGAGCAATAGGCCTATAATGACTAGGTGTGTAGGTGTCGCCTTTTTTGTGTATCGGTTTGATTATTGATATCTTTAGGGGGTCTGGAAATTGGCCATCTTGAAGGCTTTGATTAACTAAAAATGTGAGCGGTATTGACAGTTTTTCTGCACACTGTTTCAATAGAATTGGGGGGATTTCATCTATGCCACAGCTGTGTGTATTTTTAATTGAGCGTATTATGTCGATTATTTCTTTTCTATCTACAGGACGCAAGTACATGGAGCACATTTGTGAGTTTATGACGGGTCGACCCAGCGCACTGTTTTTGTTGGTTTTATTGTTATTCGTGCCCATACCCACAGTAGCAAAATACTCACTGAAATTGTTGCAAATAGTTGTTGGACATGTTACAATGTGGTTGTTAATTTTTAATGATATATTTTGTGGAGGGAGTCTTTTTTTTTGTTTACCTGTTTTTTGATTTATGATATTCCACATTGTCGGAGTTTTCCATTTGTTTACAAAAATCAAGTTTTTTTGATATGTTTACACTACGCTTTAGGGTTTGGCTATACTTTTTATAAAATTTATGTATAATATCATTATCATTCACATTCAGAAAGGCCCTTAATTTTCTTTTGTGTGCACATGATTTCCTAAGGCCGGTAGTGAGCCATTCTTTTTTTGGTTTATTATTTATTTTCAGCTTTTTTATCGGTATGTGTGTATTAAGTAATTTAGTCAATATATTGAGAAATAAATCGTAATTGGTGTTTAAATTGTTGTGTGTGTTGATTATTTCGTGCCATTTTATGTCATTTAATGAAGTGTTAAAATGTAATATGTTCCTTTCTGTGAATAGTCTTTTCTGTAAGTACCAGGTTGTGTTATTATTAGGATAAGAGTGTTTCGATTTTATTTTTAGTGTAATACCCTTCTGATCAGAGAGACCATAATCTTGGACGCTGGCTTTATTAATAATGGGCATGTAGTTAGTGAAGAGTAGATCGATGCAGGTTGAGGAGCCTTTTGATACACGTGTTGGTTCTCTGATAATCTGTTTGAGATTGTTTGAAAACATTAAGTTGATAAGATTCTCCGTCTGTTTATTTTTGTTCAAAATGTTTATATTGAAGTCACCTCCCAATATAATATATTTATTTTTGTATTTGGTGTTTAATTTATGTAACACTTTCTCTAGCTGTTCAAAAAATGTATTAATGTGTCGGTCTGCTCTGTATAAACCAATGAAAATACAATTTAATTTCGGTATTTCTACGGCACTAAATTCTATTATAAATTCTATAGTATAATTGTTTATATCTTGACACTCAAGATATTCTAAACTATCCTTAATAATTGCACAAACACCTCCCCCTTCATGCGTTTTACGACAAAAGGTGGAAGCCATTCTGTATCCAGACAACGAAATCATATCACAATAGTTCTTATTTTTCCATACTTCTGACAATAGCAATATATCTATGTTTAAGTCTTGTAGGAAGTGCTCGACTAGATGAAGTTTATTGCCTATACTTTGTATATTCTGAAAGATAACATTTAGTTCAGTATCGAAAATTATAGTTACGAGTGGTTTTCCCTTGTGTTGACATTGGCGCTGCTGGCTGTGGCTGCGATGGTGTTTGTATTTTGTTGGTTGTAGTGTTGTTGCTATCTAAACTCGTTCTGCAGTTATTGTTTTCGGTATTTGGTATCTGGGACTGGGACGTTTCTGTGGTTTGTGGGGAACTTTTTTTGTACTCTTTACCATTTATATACAGTTTGTTATTTTTAATTATAGCATGGTTACCATTTTGTCTAGCTATTCTCAGGTTTTCCCGGAGTTCGTTGCGATTCATTAATGTTTTTCTATCCATGAACATCTCAACAGCCAGTCCTGAGTTCCGAAAACAGTTAGAGTTTTCCATCACGTATCTTGTTATTCTCTTATTTGTTAATTCTATAGCTAAGGGTCTATGACCTCCTCGCTTTCCAATACGCTTTATCTCTTCTATGTATGGATCAATGTTAACATTCATTATGTCATGAAAGGCTCTAGAGATGCGGTCTATAAGGGTGTGTTCCGTTTCGTGGTGCGGTTCAGGCAGCCCATAAAGTACTATTTTTCTTGAATTTTTTAAAAGGTGTAATTGGTGTTCGATATGTTCTATGTTTTTGTCAATTGAGTAAATTTTTTCTTTTATTTTATCTTGTTCTATTATTAGGGTTGTCGTGGTATTTTCTACTTGGTTTCGAAGTTTTAATAAAGCAGTGTCCATTTCTGTCTGAATCGTAATTTTAACATCTTCGAGAAGAGATATTTTCATTTTTTCGAGTTTGGAATCTAAAAGTTTGCTGAATTTTTCTAGCATTAAATCTTCAGTTTTAAAGGATTCGGGGCCGTTTGGAGCTAATACAATACTGTCCGAAGTAAGGTTCATTGTATTCCCAATTATGTCGTCTAAAGTTTGATCATTTTCATTTTTGTAGTTTTGTGTAATCTGAGTGGGTCTTCGCCTTATTGTAACGTTCATAGAATCATCGCAGATGTGTTGTTGTATGTATGGTTTTATTGGGGTGTTAGAGTTGTCTCCCTTTGGCATATTGCATATGCAAGCTTGGCATTTCCATATATTTTTTTGCTCATTTGACATAGTATTATTAAAGTGGTATTTAGGGATGTTTGCGCATTGCAGATCGTAATATTTATTGCAGTAGGCGCATTTTAAGAACTCTGAATTACCAGTATTACATTTACATCCTTCGCATTGAGGCATAGTGGATGATAAATATTTGTCGTACTAGGTTTTGTTGATGAATATTGGTAATTGCAGATCCCTCTAGTGGCGTAAATAGGTATTATTTACGCAGTTGTGCTGGTGGTTTATTTGTTAAGGATGGAGTGTAGTAGTTCCGCATCTATGTCATAGATGGCTCTGTTTGCATGAATTTTTGTGATTTCTGTGGTAGAAATTCAAATAAGATAACAGACTTTTTTTTTCACTCTTACGCGTTAATTAGTTTTAGAGAGTTTGTTTAGTATTTCCACTGTAAAAGATTCTGTGGTTTCGTGAGATGTTTCTGCTATGTTATTTTATATGTTTTCAGCTTTTAAATTCACTGTTTAGTCTGTTACACTGTTTTTATTGACAAAATTATTTTTCACTTGTTTTTGTTTTTGCACTGTATATATATGCTCACTAATAATAGACGGTGATTTTTGAATGTTAAGTCACTGATATTTAACATTTACGCACCATATCTCACTGACTAAGTATTTTAATATAATTTTTAATTAGGAGCCGATGTTAACATGGCAACTAGCAGATATTATATGTATATTGGTGCTTTTTAACGTCAAATGCATTGAAACAAACCTTCCTATCAAAGGAATCTAGAAGCATATACCACTCTCCTACTAAACCCTTACCTCAAAGCTGCCCCCTCTTCTAATAAAAGGCTGGCTACAGATGAACATGACTAGAAGTATAACCACCAGAGCTACGCCAGTCGGGTTCGCGCAGCCCGCCACCAAACCAAACATTTTCGGCTTCTCGGTAAACAGCCATTCTGATATAGTGTAATTGTTCTTGTTTATTTCTGGATCGTGGACTACTACGAGACCTGGAATCATTAAGAACGGAATTTTAATGACAGCTTGTTCTAATGTCTGTGTGGTGATGGATTTAGAATACAGAGTGTCACCCCATTCATCTGGTCAGCGTGGTATACGGTCGACGACTGGATAGCGTAGTGGATTGTGTAACGGGCTGCTATTCCAAAGGTCACCTGTTCGATTCCCGCTCAAGTCAAACATTTGTGTGCACGAATATTTAATGTTTGATTAGGTCTGGGTGTTTCTATGTATAATATGTATATATTTACAAAAAAAAGTATATATATGTATTTATATCAGTTGTCTAGTACCTATAGTACAAGCCCTGCTTAGTTTGGGACTAGATGGCGTTGTGTGAATGTGGTAGCAAGTAAAATTGTAGGCACAAACCTTCTTTCTAAGGAGAGACCCATGTCCAGCAGTGGACTATTAAAGGTTGTTGATGATGATAAACGTTAGTATGAAGTTGGAAGCATAGATAGATAGATAGATAAATACTTTATTTGTACACCAGGGTTTTACAGACATTATAAAGTAATTAACAACAGATGTAATGTTCAAAGGGCCTTATCGCTTAGTGCAATTTCTTCCAGGCAACCTTTGGATGGATTCATTTTAAACTGGTGATAGGTATACGTAAATTAGAGAAGTAAATAAGGTCTTAACCTATGAAATTTATACATATATCCTACTAATCTTTATTTATACATAAATACTATACATACATACATACGCTAATTTTAGAGACAGATAATGCTTCATATAGCATAGTCTTGAAGGTGGTTACGGATTGCGCACGTCTGATAGTAACCGGCAAGGCATTCCATAAACGTACAGCTTCTACGGAAAACGTTTTTGTGTAGAAATTGGTGGAATGCCTTGGTATTTCCAATCTCAGGCTTTCAGAGGACCTCAGAGATTCCATACGTGTGTCATGACGGAACTTAAAGCGTTCTTTGAGGTAAATAGGAGTTAATGGATTAAACAGTATATTAATGGAGGAAACATAAAGATATGTAAATACTTACTAAAGTTACAAAGATGCATGATCGTGTGTATTAAGCTGTACAGAACGATCAAAACGCCGGTCAACTTGTGGAGATAGATGTGATGATCCAGAGGCAGGTAGGAGCTGAACCCCCTCACTCTGAGCTGCGTGAGGCAGTTCCGCAGCATCAGGACTAACACCCAGGCGCAGTTGAAGTTCAGGCATTGGCCTACGATAAAAAATACTTATTAGAAGCTTTGAATCAATCCAGTCAGTATGGCACTTTAATATGAAAACCAAACTGCTATTGGACATAGGCCTCTCCTTAGAAATGCAGTTTTGGCCTGGTCAAAAGGGTTGGTATAGGGTTTGTTTCAAGTTTTCCTTCTCTTTGCAGTGCTGTTGTCCTGCGTAGTTTACTCCCTCAGTCGGCTCTTACGACACCTACGGGATGAATAGGCGTGGTGACACTCCGTATTATTTATCCTTCACCACACGGATTCTTCCAACCAACCAAGCTATAGAAACCACCAAAAGTATTTGGGGTGACTTTCACATTAAACGAAAGTCAAAAAGTCAAAAATTTAGAAGATCTATTGTCTTTCGCAGCGAATTGGTAAATGAATATCTTAGCTGATATTAGGGATTTAAAATGCGAGGACAAAGCCGGCGTCGCCGCGCCGCGCCGGGCCGTACGTCCGTCCCGGATGGCAGCCTCCGCCAATAAATATTGCATATATGTCCTGTAGCATAGTTTTATATCATAATGATAGTATAATCAATTACTCCATACTGACACCACATTAAAAATCAAAATTATCTCGATTATTATAGAAGAAAAATCACAAGACGCCCAATAGATGGCGTTGTGCCGTTTAAATGCATTGTGATATGGTTTCGTTACCACCCTTAGTATATATTGCCAAGGACGAATTGCTGCTTTAAGACTGGAGATTGAACTGAGTAACTTAATATAAATTACACGTAATACATATGTATGTATTGTTAAACAGAAATTTGGAAGTTTGATCAAAATTTTTTTTGTAAAGCTATACCCTTGCAGCTCATATAACTATTTAAAATCAGAACATACACTAAGTTTTTATAAGTAATCAGTACATATACTAGATGAAATTAAAATGATCCGTATTTTTTTCAGATTTTCCAAATTCAAAATTAAGACTTAAAGCCTTTTTCCCAAACCAGGTTGGCGTCGGTTTTTAAGTCTACTACGATACGGCTACAACTTCAATTTTGAAGTGAAAACTTCTTTTGTTGCACACTTTTTTTGTAATGGGTAAAAAATGTTAAACTCGCGTCAGTACACGTGACCTGATCGAAAATTCGTAAGACGGATGGAGAGTAGACAGCCGGCGCGGCGTAGGAGAGGAAGTGTCGCCCTCTCTTTCTACGGCGCGGCGAAAATGTATGCCTGCGCCTGCTGTTTCGTTTAGGCGGCGCAAGGCGCTTGCGCGAATGTTCGTGTGTGTCAAAAATGCACAACGTTAATATTCAAGTTTTCACTTCTGCCGGCACTCCCGGAGTGCAACTCGTCGTTTTTTTTTCGTAGAGCGACAGCCATCAGACCTCCACAACCCAATGACTAGGCGAAATCGAGGTTCTGTAGAAAGACTGTTGACGAACTTTCTAGGGCCCCAACTACCCGTGAGGACCTGAAATAACAGGTCCGGGTCCTCCCCAGAGTAGGACACCTGAGGCCGGCCGTCGGGGTGGTTTTTAGTGGAATCACCACATACTCCTGGCTCATAGTCCCCGAGGAGCAGGAGATCCGAAGGGATTTTCCACCCCGTCAACAAAAAAAAAACTAGATTGTCACAGACAACCGTGACAGACGACGGCAGCACTTGCTCTCCAAGGTAACTATGTGTTAAGAATGGTCACCCATCCATAGAATTACCTAGCTAGGATTGCTTAACATTGTAACGTAACCTACTTGGTTACCACTTAGCCACGAGCCCCACTGTAGGACTAGTAAAGTAAAAACATAAGTAAAAATATTTGACTGCCCGATGGCGTAGTGGTTTAAGTGGTCGCCACGCCGCTTACTACTGCGCTGAGTTTGTGTAACGGACTGCTATTCCAAAGGTCGCGGGTTCGATTCCCGCTCAAGTCAAACATTTGTGTGCATGAACATTTGATGTTTGATTTAGACTAGACGGCGTTGTTTTGACTAGATGTTTTTGATTGTTTGGACTAGATGGTGTTGTGTGAATGTGGTAAAAAAAAAAAAAAAACCCACATGGGACGACACTTTGTGTGATCCACAAGTTGTTGTTCTCAGTCTTGGTGTACTTTGTGTCCGTTTCATGTCTGTTTGTAAAGTCCCCCGCGACACAGGAATATATTCCTAATGCGGGTGTTGTCTTTTAAAAAGAAAAAAATAAGAATTTTCTGTGTTTCTAAATAAATATTTTCTGTTTCTAAAAAATAATATTCACTGTTCTTATTAATTGAAAACGTTAACAAAACAATTATTTTAAAGCTTTGTTTAGAAATAAAGAATCTCTTGAAATCATGTCCTTTGAATGCATGTAAGTTTATGTGTATTGTAAGGGGCATGTATTGTTAAGTACTTACGTACGTTACTCAGTAGGTACATTCTTATTCCGGTTGTCAGTGTTAACAAGTGTCAAATTATTACTATTGCACCTAACGACATTCATGTAATAATATTCGCACCTTCATAATAAACTATCAAAATGCTCGCATTTCGTCAGTACTGGCTGGAATAAGTGTTAATATCACTAAAATAAAGTTTGAATGTGGAACATAAACTTAAAATGAGTTTATGGGACATTCAGCAACTGTCATTATTGTCAAATGCATATTAATTATTTTACTATAACTTAAACAGTAGGCACTAATCAATGAAGAAGCGATACCAACTAAACCATCAAACATTGACAGATGACAGCGAAGTGCTACCAACCTAACCGCACTAATCAATTCTTACGTTCCGTGCCACGTACTAACACGGTCACGGGAAAAGCACAAATCATTCAAGGTATTTTTGATAAAAAAGAAAATAGGAATGGTAAACCAAAAAAAAAGTTTTTAAATCCAGATTGTATGATAAACTACTTCCAAATAAATGAATTAAAAATAGTGCAGTCAGTAAGCGAGCTCACAGGAGGGCTCCGGGTGCAAGGACAGAATTGCTCGACACCGGACCGGTTTTATGCGAGACCTTAACCACTCTGGTTGAGCTGGTTCGTATGGTCTTTGTTCTGTGTCTGGGTGTAACTTAGCTATAAACAGGTATATATTTAGAAATATATTCGCCCGGTAGACGATGGTAATGTGGTCCCCTACTATGTGAGGCACTAAAATTTAAAAAGCAAAATGTCCGCCTTATGTGACCCCTATCTACCCCTTTCTGAATAAAGGCCTGGCTGTATATATAGAAAAAGGTATGGGCGTCCGAACCTGGTCGAAACGTCTGGTATTTCAAACGTATCGATCGTGAGCGAGTCAATTCCTGTGAACATATCATCATCATCATCATCAACAGCCTTTAGGCCTCTCCTTTGAAAGGAACATATATGGGAACGCTTTTAAAAGTGAATGCCTTAATTGTATGAATGAGGGTATTAGGCTTGCCTCCGAGTACGAAAATAGGACATGAATTATCAGTAATATGCCAGAGTCTAACACGCATCTGCTTACCCTTTCAGAGTTAAGAGGTATGTAATAACTTACCACAAGCTCTAGCAAAAATAACATATCCGTTCTGCCTTCTGTACTCGTAGCACCGCGAGAGGAAGAGTCCTATATTGACCAAGAAGAACAGCCCCAAGTATGTCAGGTAGACGTAGTTATTCCTGAAGTACGGGGCCGAGAGCTGGTAAGGCTTCAGTTTGGATAGCCTTTGGTAGAGAGATGCTGGCTTGGGGTTGGGCTTTGGAGGCACCAACCAACGGTCTATGCTGTAAAACAAATCATAGGTATTCATTTTAGAAACATGCAACATCATTGGGTCATATCAACGGTCTTTAAGAG